GAAGGCTAAGAACATTTGCAAGGATATAAATCTTAACCCATTTGTTGCAAGTATAGGCTCTGGTGTTCTATATCTTCCATAAAATTAATCCTTGCTGGATTAATTGTAAGGAATTCCCTTTAAGACATCCAGAATTCCAAATGTTTACATACTACATATTTAGTTGTCATGGAAAGCTGCATTCCGTCCCGGGTCTGTGATGCCTTTTTATATAAAGTGCCTCTCTCTTTGGCACTAATTGAATTAATGAGTGACTATATGACAGATAGGAGCCATGGTGATGCAGTGGTTAAAGCACTTGGCTGCTAACCAAAACATCGGCAGTTCGAACCCACACGCTGTTCTGTTCAAGAAAAGTGTGGCAGTCTGCGTCCTTAAAGATTTACAGCCTTGCTGAGGGCTGTGGGGATCATGGTCTTGGGCAACATCTAGCTCAACTGGCACAATACAGTTTATAAAGAAAATGTTCTACGCTCTACTTTGGTGAGTAGCGTCTGGGGTCTTAAAAGTTTGTGAGCAGCCATCTAAGCTACTCCACTGGTGTCACCCTGTCTGGAGCAAAGGAGAATGAAGAAAACCAAAGACACAAGGGAAAGATTAGTCCAAAGGACTAATGGACCACAAATACCACAGCCTCCACCAGACTGAGTCCAGCACAAATAGACAGTGCCCAGCTACCACCACTGACTGCTCTGACAGGGATCCCAACAGAGGGTCCCGGCCAGAGATGGAGAAAAATGTAGAACAAAATTCCAACTCAAAAAGAAAAGAAAAAAAAAAAAAAGGCCAAACTTACTGGTCTGACAGAGACTGGAGAAACCCCAAGAGTATTGCCCCTGGACACCCTTTTTAGCTCTGTAATGAAGTCACTCCTGAGGTTCATCCTTCAGCCAAAGATTATAGACAGGCCCATAAAACAAAGCGAGACTAAATGGGCACATCAGCCCAAAGGCAAGGACAAGAAGGCAGGAGGGAAAAGGAAAGCTGGTAATGGGGAACCTAAGGTCAAAAAACGGGAGTGTTGACATGTCATGGGGGTGGCAACCAATGTCACAAAACAGTATGAATACTGTTTAATGAGAAGCTAGTTTGCTCTGTAAACCTTCATCTAAAGTACAATATATATATATATATTTCTCTGAATTAAAAAAAAAAAGGATTTAGAGTCATGGAAACGCTATGGGGCAGTTCTACTCTGTCCTACAGGGTCACTATGAGTCAGAATTGACTTGACAGCAGTGGGTTTGGTTTGGTTTTGGTATGTAACTGATTCATTTCTTTAAAAAACAGCATGAGGACAGAAAAAAGCACTTTTTCTATAGTACTGACCTGCTATGTGGTATTATTTTTTGATGCATTACTATTGTCGTTAAGTCGCCTTCAAGTCGATTCCGACTCACGGCGACAGCATGAGTGCACAGAACAGCTCCACAGGGTTTTCAACGGCTGTGACCTTTTGGAAGCAGATCGCCAGGCCTGTCTTCGAGGCACCTCTAGGTGGGTTTGAACCACCAATCTTTCAGTTAGTAGTCCAGCATTTAACTATCTGCGCCCCTCAGGGACTCCTATTATGTGGTGTTAGCGCTCTTTAATTCTGCTCTTTTTCTAAAAACTAATGAAACAACGAAGTTTAAACCCATTAATCAAGACACACCAGAGTGTCTGAGGTTATAAGCAGGGCAGGATCAGAGATTTGATAAAACCTCTGACATTAAAGGAACTTGATTGCAAATAATTTTTTCTTATTCGTAAATTTCCTAGAAGCAGAGTTTTGTAAAGGGAATAACTTTTTTTTTTTAAAGTATTGAAATGAAAGCTGCTTTATTCTTTAAACTACACACTGTTGTTCTTCATCCCTAAATACTCCCTGCCTCCCAGACAATGGCCACATTCCCAGCGCTTTTCAACAGACATCTTTATTTGTTCCCTTGATGGTTTAAAATGTTTTCTGTAATCTAATCCTAAATAACATTCATTTTATGGCATACATAAACAGTTAAGCAATAAATTGCAAATATAAACACTTATTGAAATGTTTATTGAACATAGTCTGTTTGAAAAAAGATATGCAAACTAAAGTTCCTTCAAAGGAATCAGAAGAGAACCCACTGATAACTCCAGTTTAAAAAAATCTGAGTGTGACAGATAATCATGGTTGGTTCTATGGAATATTATTTTTTAGGGAAAAAAGTTCTACAAATTGAGATCCTCAAATGAGAAAACCATCAGGTGAAATATCAGAAAGCACTTACTTTATTTGATTTTATTTTCTGGGAAGAAAACTAGCATTGCAGAGCCATTTAATGAAAACTTGTGACTTACCGGTGATTGAGATATCCATACACATGTATGTAACATGATAAATTTTAGATTGAAAAAATTAATGTCTCCAGGAAATTACGTTTCACAAATACTGCTATTTTAAATAACAGTCGACACTGTTTAAATCACAGACACTGACATTATTGTCATGCCAGAGTAACTTTACCATTTTTACACATATGTGGGTATAATGATCTTTCATGTCTGGACACATTCTAGTCCCAAAGTAAAAGCAAATTTCCATTTGCATGTTTTTAGTACACTGTACATGTTTAACTCCTTTTCAGCAGGGCTTTGAACTGGTTTGTTCCAGTTCAAACCCCTGCTGAGAATTTGCATTTCCACTCTAGATAGACTGAATCAGAATCTACAGTTTAACAAGATCCCCAGGTGATTCTTATGTGCAATAAATTTTGAGCACCAGTGTTCTACTAGTCAAGGAGCCCTGGTGGCACAGTGGTTAAGCGCTCGGCTGCCAAGCAAAAGGTCGGCGGTTTGAACCCACCAGCCACTCTTCAGGAGAAAGATGTGGCAGTCTGCTTCCGTAAAGATCACAGCCTTAGAAACCCTACGGGGCAGTTCTATTCTGTCCTACAGGGTCACTATGAGTCCGAACTGACTCGATGGGAACCCTGGTTGTTGTAAGTTGTGGTTCTCAGAATTGTTCCCTAACCAGCAGTATTAGCATCACCTGGGAACTTGTTAGAAATGCAAATTCTCAGCAGGGGTTCGAACCAGAATGAACCCATTTGTGAAGCCCTCCTTTTGGGTAACATGTCTGCTCAAACAAATTAGTATTAATGGGTATTATTCCCTCAAAACAAACGTCTATCTGCCCCTTTATTCTAGGGGGAAAAAAAAAGAATAACCAAAGAAATGTACTTGCAATCTAATTTCCTAGCGTCTAAGGAGCTCTATTTCTGAATACCTGGCCCCACCTGCTATTATGTAAATATTTTTCTTACAACTTAAAGTTCTCTGTTAGAAGTATCTTTAGTAAGGGGTAAGAAGTCTTATAAAGAAACTGTTTAATAAAGGATGTTAACATTTACTAAGCAAAAGATGTTTGCTTCTCTTCTCATGAAAGCCAAACAGAAAACAGAGTGTTACTAACGTTTTCTATTTATTCATTAATAAAAAGTGCATAGTACAAGCCCTTTATCCCAATCCAAGTACTCAAGAAAAGATTAACAATAAACCCTGGATGGCACAGACATGATTTGTTTGGCATGATTTAAACATTTAAAAACCGCAATTAACACTTAGTATATCACAGAACCACTTTTGCTTTTAACAAAGTAATCATCAGACATGGTATAACAAATACATATGATTTTCATTTAGAAATATTATAATGTTAAGACTAAACCTACTATTGCAATAACAAAAAATTAATCGTTAACTGTAAACTTTTCATTTTTCCTTCTTCAAGTTGCTGTTTTGTGTCTTAAGCTGAGCTGACCAAATTTTTGCACATATTCATTTCAAGTGGCAGACTTTCATTCAGAGTGACAGACTCCCATGGCTCTTTTGAAAGTGTAAGATATCTGTAACTCTATAAACACTATCACATCATATACCACAAGGACATAAACATAACCATGGAATAGCTGCACTCAATAGTTACTTCAGAAAATCTCTACAAGTTATATTATTTGACTTGCTGACCATGGGATAGTGGCTGGATAGCTACCTGCTATCATTTATTATAAACACTTCCAATGTTAACTTTTTCCATATGGAGAGCAAAAAATATTATTTTGTATAAAGGAAAATTAAATAACTCTAAAACAAAATAAACTCTTAATGGCATTTGTGGAATGTTTAAGAGCCAAAGGTCATTAAAATGTGGAGTTTTGCCTTTCTTTTTTCCAGATTATTTTAAAAGGATTGTAGCCATGGTTCAGGTGAATGCTTATAAGCCAAGTAATGATTTAATAATGTGCTCAATAAAAAGGCCACGTGTAGAAGTTTTAAGATTAAATAGAACAATATAAATTACTAGTTAGGTTAACAAGAATACTTTATGTGTAGTATACTGTCTTTTTCAGGAATGCAGAGAAATTTTACTAGCAAAAAAAGACTAAACAACTCACTAAGAACTTCTGTTACTAAGCAAATAGGTCCATGTAGGAAAGGCTAAAATCCTAGTTATAATGTCAATTAAGTGTATGTGACAGAAATGAAGGACTAAAAATCCAGATTTTCAGGTCTATAGCTAACAACAGACATTTTGTTTCCATGTTATGGCCACTTCTTAAACCAAAGCCAATTCTCAATTATTTGTTAGCTGTAGATTCAGTGTATACATCAGTATCTCTGCCAGTGATTGGCTTTCTAGCAGCTTAGAGGACAGGCTATTAGGATATAGGTGCAAGCCTTCAAAGTTCAGGGGGCAAAGGCAGAAAAATGGAATGCTATTGGAACTTAGCTCCATTTTATGCTGTTCCTTCCCTTTCTGCCTTAAATATGCTACCAGCTATAGCTGGGAAGGCTTCCAGTAGGCCACAGCAAAAGGAAAAACCTTTACTCTCTGGTGTTCATTTATCCAGGATCTGACTTACCTGTGTTATGTTATCGCTCTATTAGCACAAGTAATTAAGAGTTGGTTATATTATTTCAAAAAGTTGAATGCAAAGCCAAGATACACAAGGAGGAATGAAGCAGTCAATGTTGTATTATGTAATGAAATGAAATGATGCTCTTTTGGCCTAGAATGTGATCATAGTTAAGAAAAAGAATACTCAATGAGTATATCAGAGATTCTATTAAACAGTACAATAATATAGAGCAGTTTATTCAATTCATACAAGTAATTTCTCAGATCTATACAATGAAAAGCTAGACTGATCTGGGGAAAAAATCCTTACATTGATAGCAAAATATCTTCTAGCCCACATAAGTCATCTGCAATCACTTGCTAGGAAAAAATTCCATAACCACAAAGGTCATGCAGACATTTTTTATGCCATTTGTATTTTTTCAAACTGAGTAGAACAGTGCAACCTTTTACTTTTTTATACATTTCAAAACTTTACTTACATTATGATCATCCCCCTCCCAATCCATCCCATTACCAAGACAGGAGATGAGACAGGGGGTGAGGAAAAGATCCTTGATTCTAATTTTCTTCCTTTTCACTTGGAGTAAGCCGAGAATTCATTAAAAAATTTTAAAGTCAGAACGATAACAAAGGACTTAAAATTTTTTTCTTCAAATAAAAAAACAAGGTAAATAAGTACCAGGCATTCAAATGTCAGTAACCAAACAGGCCCCCGATACAGCTTTAAGAGAGTTTCATTCTAACAGGGAAGTGTCAGAACAGAAAAGAAGCTTCCTGAGAGGCACTAGTCTTAACAATAAATTATAGCTTAAATTACTACTGTATAGATTATACATGGCAAAGGCAGAAAGAGTTAATTTTTCTCCTGCTTTCATGAACCCTTACAAAGCTAGTGTACAGTGGATTACAAGTGTCATATAATGGACAGTTAAACATCCACCAGATTGATCAATTATGTTTATTTAAAGTTTTATTAACATTAGACATTTTTTAATGGGACTAAAAAAGTTAGTAAGCAACCATTTATTCTCTTCTCCAATTCTAGCCACATAAGCCAGCTGTAGCGGATGATACAGATATCAGCTAAAATTTGTAAAATATTCAAAAGGCTGCCATAGTCCCAAGAACAAGAGAAAACAGCCACCCACAAATAAACTGTCACGGTAAGTGTAAATGCAGTATGGTTCTAATTTTCCTTCATACAACTCAGACAAGCCCAAATAACTTTATAAATATCTTACGCAAAAAAGCGATTTTAAAGCCTATCAAAACTATTTAAAATATTTAAATGCAGAGATCTCAAATTTCTTTCAATCAGGCCAGAAACCATCACAAAAATCATCACCGTTAAATATAATGAGTGGAATGTTTAGGTTTATGACAACCAAAAAAGCCCCATGTAACTTTTTTTAATATCATTTACTCAAATATACTGTAAGTAGGAATGGTGATAACACAGGAAGCAAAAATAAGTTCACAAGTGAAATTTCTAGAAGCTCATGAAAACAATACCATCCCACATTGCATATGCAAAAGAAAAAACAGTCCTAATGGGGTTAAGAGTACTCTGGTCATCTTCGTTCATTTGGTCGTGCAAGGTGTTTAGCTATTTTCACTTCCCATATAACAAAGTTAGTCCACAGGAGGGGCTGGTGGATCTTGTCCCTGGCATTAGAAAGAGATAAATTATGGAATTGACTGACTTTATTTCCAGTACAACCAATCTAACACATACAGTCAGAATTCAGCAGCAATGCCCCACCCCCACCACCTTCCTGTACCAAACTATGTACTTATTTGAACTTATCATTCGTTTTTACGTAAGGGAACAGTAGATTAACACTATAACTCTCCAACTTTTCTTTCCTGTGGAATGGAATAAGGAAAATTGTTTAACAGTGATATGATAGCTCTCTCTGCCAGTTCTAGGGGTGGCCTTTAAACCAATAAAGGTAGTTTCATCCCTCTTGCTAAAGTGAATCGCTGAGTAGTGCAATTAAAGTAAAGGCAGGGGCTTTCGTTTGTTTCCCACAACAGAGTATCAGCGAGGAAGCATGTGGCTCCAGCTGCTACTGAAGCCAGCCTGTGATGACAAGGGGAGCCCACCTTGGAGTGAAGCTGATGAGATGAGGAAAGAAACTGGGTCTTTTATGACACTGTTAAACCTGCTGAATCAATCATTCCAAACATCTACCCTACTTCTGAATTTTTTTATTGTATAAACCAATAAAGCCACTTATTGTTTAAACTAATCTGAATTGGTTTTGGCTACTTGCAAAAGAAAGCATCTGAACTATAAAGGCGAGATAAGAATTTTCAGGAATCTTCAGGAAGATTCCATTTGTTCACCCTGACATGCTATATAAGTTCATAGTTTTTCTATTTGAAATTAGAGTCAATACATTTTCTTGCCTATTCCTAGGGCAGTGGGACTATTCCTAGAACCACTAGTTTACAATAAACTAAGGTCCAGAGGACTGTTATTTTGCATTTCTGTCACCTTTAAAGGGTTATAAGTCAACTTACTAAGTTGGATTTCTTTAGATCCAAACATTAAGGAAGTTGTTCTTTGATATGAAAGCAATAAAGCTGTACATAACCAGTTGCCATCAAGTCGATTCCAACTTATGGCAACCCCACATGTGTGAGAATAGAATATGCTCTACAGGGTTTCCAATGGCTGATTTTTCGGAAGTAGATTGCTAGGCATTTCTTCTGAGGTGCCTCTGGATGGCCTCAAACCTCCACCTTTTAGGTTAGTAGCGAAGTGCATTAACCGTGTGCACCACCCAAGGACCCCAAAGCTGTACACAGAAAATAGGAAAAAAAGCTAAGGAAGAAACACTTTATCAAGATAATATGCAAGTTGTTTTGTGAATATCCTCCTTCAAGAAAAAAAAAAACAAAATAAATTTAAGTCTTTTTATATAGTGCTTAAAAAAACAAAAACACACCTGTTGCCATCGAGTTGATTCTGACTCACAGCAACCCTATAGGACATAGCAGAACTACCCCATAGAGTTTCCAAGGAGCAGCTGGTGGATTCGAACTGCCGTTCTTTTGGTTACCAGCTGAATTCTTACCCACTGCACCACCAGAGCTCTTATATAGTGCTAGTGATGCTTTATGTCTTAATTAAAGTCAACATACTACTCACCGAGATGTTCTACTCTTGAAAAAGACCAAAAGCACTGACTAAGTAACATTGCCCGTTTGCTTTCCCCTATATAAGAAATCAGTTTAACTGAACTTTCTTCTAGTATTAATAACGTATTATGAGACTGGGGAAAAGAAGCAATCATTTTAGAAATCCCACATGGTGAAGGCTGAGAAGAGAATTAGTGGGATATTAGGTGTTTAGTAAGTGAATACCTCATGGAAATATTTTTAAAACGATACCATCTAAGTCAAATGGAAAAGAAAAAAACAATTAAGTACTGGTTCTGAAAAGAGTTAAAAGTAATCCTTTAACGGAAGTTTCATTAAAAATAGTACTGAAAACTCTGTTGGACTGCTTCATCATATTTTTCTTTTAGAAGTTTCTAAAAATGCTTATAAGGTGCCCTAGTGGCTCAATGGTTAAAGTGCTCGGCTGCTAACCTAAAGGCCGGTGGTTCAAACCCACCAGTTGTTCCATGGGAGAAAAGACCTGGTGATCTGCTCCTGTAAAGATTACAGCCTAGGAAACCCTGTAGGGCAGTTCTACTCTGTCATATTGAGTGGCTATGAGTCGGAATCAACTTGAGCGCACACAACAATGACAACAAAAATTGTTATAAACATGACTATCAAGATTTATCAACATTAATGATTCCTACCTCTCCTTTTTGCCAGCTCAGTTGATCTATTGTGATGCAGAACTGGAAGAATGGGTTTGAGAGAAATAGGATGCAAAAAAAACAAGAGGAAAACAGGATTTAGCCTGACAGGCTCAGTGGCTCTATTGTATTTAATAGCTAAGACAGAAGGGGAGAGAACAGAGGGAAAAACAATTGAGCTGGAGCTAATGAAGAGAGTTTAGGGGGCTTGAAGCATGAGAGGCAAGGGATCAACTGTGAGGTGAATAAAACTGGAGAATGGAGAACTGGATTTGAGAAAAATTGCTGTGAGTTATGAATAGAATCATTTTTGATGTTTCTCATGTGAGTAAAGATTGAAAATTTTTAAAAATTATTTTGGGGCTACTGGCTTGTGCTTCTATATATAACTCCATGCAGACTAAGCCACTGGGGGCTCCGAGATTTACTAGGACTAAAGAGGAAAAACTTATACTCAATGAGTTAAATCATTTTTTTTGCTAATTTAGACATTTCAGTCAAAACAAACTCCTCCCTCTCCCCAGATCACATTCCCCCTACCCGCCCCCCTCAAACCCTCGACGAAAAAAGGATTTATAATCCACAACACTTACATTATGAGGACTGGTTGGCTTTCCAGGTAAACTGGATCCTCTTAGATTAGAAGGTCTCAGTAAAAACAAGATCACTGCAATAACCATCCAAGCCATCAAGATCATGGTAATACTGATGCCATTATCACCAGAGGGTCCTGGTACTAAAGATAAAAATGTATTTGTAACAAAAACTGAAGCATGATTATAATATTGCTAGATAAGCATAAAAACAAATTCTAATGTTTATCAGCTTGAAAACTGTATTAATCATTTAAAGAAGTATACTTGTGAAGCATTACATCCTTAATTTCCCTTTCCTCCAGTGAGAAAACCTAAATGGTAAATGAGGTTTGTCTTAGTCATCTAGTGCTGCTGTAGCAGAAATACCACGAGTGGATGGCTTTAACAAAGAGAAGTTTATTCTCTCACAGTCCTGTAGGCTACAAGTCCAAATTCAGGGCATCTGCTCCAGGGGAAGACTTCCTCTCTGTGTCAGCTCTGGAGGAAGGTCCTTGTGATGCATCAGTCTTCCCTTGGTCTGGGAGCATCTCAGCACAGGAACCTCAGGTCCAAAGGACGCGCTTTGCTCCCAGTACTGCTTTCTTGGTGGTGTGAGGTTCCCCTGTGTCTCCACTCGCCTCTCTCCTCTATATCTCAAAAGAGACTGGCTTAAGACACCATCCAATCCTGTAAACCTCATCAGTATAACCGCCACTAATCCATCCCATTAGATCACAGTGACTGAGTCCACAACACTTAAGGAAATCACATCAGATTACAGAATGGTACACAATCACACAATACTGGGAATCATGACCTAGCCAAGTTGACAGACATTTTGGGGGGACACAATTCAATCCATGACAAGGTTAAACAGGCCAAAGCCTAATAATAACTGAAAGTTTTAATAGTGCAGTAGTGGTTAATATTTTGGGGGCAACAGAATTCCTTGAGAATCTTAATAAAAATTATGGACTCTTTCCACTATAAGAATCCACGTATATACAATGGAATACTACCCGACCACAGACAAAAATGAATTCCCAAAACTTCTTGCTGACGTGGATGAACCTGGAGGACATAATGCTGGCAAAATAAGTCAATCACAAAAGGACAAATATTGTATGATCTCACTTTTAGGAAATGACAACAATAGCTATATCTACAGAGACCAATGTTCATTGGTGGTTACTAGAGGTCGGGGGTGGGGAGAAGAGGGAGAATCATTCTGAAGACAGTAGTCACTTTTTGTTTCTGGTGATGGGAAAGGTAGCACCGAATGTGGGTGAAGTATTGCACAGCTTGACTAGTGTAGATGATGCCACTAAGATGTACACAAGAAAAAGGATGTACTGGTAAATGCTATAATTTTGCAACAACAACCAAAATATAAATACACACACACATATAGATATATTTAAAGCAAACAGGGGCTAGCTACAGATACTGATACTTCTTAGACATAACCAACTACCTCATGGGATTAGTTTTCTTGAAGACTTAGGGTCATAGTCTTGTGGGACAATTCAGTCAAAAGGCATAATACAGTTCACATAATATAGTTCATAAAGTTTATGTTCTATATCCTAGTTCAGTGAGATGTGGTGTCTGAGATCTTAAAAGCTTGTGAACAGCCATCTAAGATACAACTATTGGTCTCTATTCATCTGGAGCAAAACAGAAAGAAGGAAACCCAAGAATTAGAGAAGGAAATGGAGTACAGGACTAATTGTTTCCATGAACCAAGACCTCCTCTACCCTGAGACGAGAAGAACTAGGTGGTACCTGGCTACCATTACCAAATGTTCTCGTCAGGGACACAGTATGGATCCTGATAGAAAGGGAGAAAACTGTGGAACAGAATTCAAATTCTCAAAGAATCCAGACTTACTGGATTGAAACTGGAGGAACTGCCAAGACTACTGTCCTGAGATAGTCTTTAAAACTTGAACTGAAACCATCCTCTGAAGTCACTTTTAACCAAACAACAGGTTAGCTCAAAAAGTAAAGAATGCCACCCTTGAGTACTGTACGTCTTTAAAAAATTACCTATGTGAGACTAAATGGACAACAGTTACTCTAACACATAGATGAGAAAGATGCATATGTGTGTGTGTGTAGACATCAGTCTTTCCAAGCTCCCTTAAGCAACCACGTCTTACTTCATCCTGAATATCAAGTACCTAGCACAACGCCTGGGTCCCTGGCTGGTACAAACGGTTAAGCACTTGGCTACTAGCTGAAAAAAGTTGGTGGTTCAAAACCCACCCAGAGGCACTTCAGAAGACAGGCCTGGCGATCTGCTTCCAAAAGGTCACAGGCTTGAAAATCCTATGGAACACAGTTCTACTCTGACATGCGTGGTGTTGCCATAAGTTGGAACTGACCCCACAGCAACTAACAAAAAACTACCACCACCATTTTTCTTCTACTGCCTGAGTGGCCAAAAGGAGAGAAAGTGGCCAAAAGGAGACAAAGTCTGATTAAGAGCTGAGCTAGCCCAAGAGCAGGCTGGAAAGGAATACAGTCTCTGATCCAACCCCAGTCACTTCCTCAGAACAGCTAAAGCAGTACTCAGGGTCATCAAAATTGCCTTACAGCATCAGTGCATTAGCATTCTGCTTTCTTTATATCCATGTCCATCCTTTCCTTGTTCCCTCCTGTTACACTAAATGTGGTCCCTTCATAATTAAGATCAGTTTCTCCACTTGAGCTTTGGACCCCATCACTCTTGCAAACATACTATCCATCATCCTTTCCTATATATTCAACCACCCCTTCTCAATTAGCACCATCCCATAAGCATTAAAAATTATCAAGTTTCTTCCATCTTTAAACAAAACAAAAATCTCTCCCTCAACCTTTTCCTCTCCAGCTATAACTGTATTTCTGTCCTTATCATCACAGGTAACATTTTGATAGTTTTCTACATTTGTGATCTACATTTCACTACCTCCCACTCACTCCTCAGCTGGTTTCTATCTCCATGATCATTCAAATAGAAATAGATCTTAAAAAGGTCAACTATGACATCTCCATGCTGCTAAGCCTAATGGGTAATTTTAAGTCCTTATGTTTGGTGACCATTCTCTCCTTTTTGAAACACTTTCTTCCTTTGTCTTCTGTGGCATTACCATTGCCTGATTTTCTTTCTAAGACTCATTTTTCTTGGTCTTTAAATTTTATAATTCCCTATAGTCAATTTTAGTACCCTTCTCTTCTTGTTCTACACTCTTATCCTCACCTGTGGCTTCAATTACCTTTTGTATGCAGACAACACCTAAGTTTATACCCAGCCCAGATTCCTCTGAACTTCAGACCCAAATATCCAGCTGTTTACCTACATCAATAGTTTTTTCTTTCTCTCTCTTTCTTCTTCACATCAACAGTTCTTAAATAATGATGTCCATGAGAGTCATTTGGCAGCTTCCTGAAATAAACGATTTGCTGTCAAGTTGATTCTGACTCATAGTGCCCTTGTGTCAGTAGAACTGTGCTCCAGAGGGTTTTCCATGGCGGATTTTTCCGAAGAAGATTGCCAGGCCTTTCTTACGAAGGTGCTTCTGGGTGGACTTGAACATCTATCTTTTCGTTATCAGCTCGGTGCATTAACCATTTGCACCCACCCAGGGACTCCTTTCTTAAAAACAAAGATGCCCAAACCTCACCTTGGACTTAAATAATCTCTGGAGGTATGTATAGCCTGGCCTTATAGTGGCATCTTAATTCATATTACTATTTGAGAACCACTGGCCTTCTCTGTATTTCCACTTTGGTAACTTAAAGGTATCTCGAACTAAAATTATGAGCTTTCCCCCGGCCCATCCTTCCACGGCCCACACCAAACTGATCTCCATTCATCCAACTGCCTAAGCCAATAATTTTAGGTCAACTTTGACACCTTTCGGGAGCCCTGGTGGTACAGTGGTTAAAGTGACTGACTGCAAACCGAAAAGGTCGGCAATACAAAACCACCTGCAGCTCAATGGAAGAAAGATGTGGCAGTCAGCTGCCATAGAGATTTACAGCCTTGGAAACCCTGTGGGGTCACTATGAGTTGGAACTGACTCAACAGCAGTAGGTTTGGTTTTGGTTTTTGACATCTTTTGTTATCTCTTGCTGACCTTCTATTTTATCTATCATGAAGTTTCTGTCAATTTTATCTCCTAAATATCTGCTCGCTTCTAGCTCCACCACCACACTTACTCAAGCTACCATTACCTCTTCTCTGGTCCACTTCAATGGCCTCTTACCTATCTCCTCATAACTACTCTTGCCTCCTCTAATTCTGTCCTCTACACTGATGACAGAGTGATGTTTAAAAAAAGAAAGAAAAAAGCAAATACTATTATTTTTATTACTAAATAATTACCTTCTGTCTGCAGACCACATATTTCTAGACAAACCAGTCCTAATAAAATGTCCAATCCTCTTTAAAACTCTCATAGTGATAATATGACTCTTAAATCCCTGTAGCTGTCTCCTAGCTTGGTTCCTACTACAGCCTTTCCTTCTTGCACACTGTGCCAGTAAAGTCTACTTACAAATGCTCTTAACATATCTCTCTGCTGATCCACTTAGTGACGCACTCTATACTGCCAACTGCTTCAACTCTGAACTCCTCAGCCTGGCTTTTCCTAACATAATCTGGCACCAGTCATCTACTCTCATCTCTTACCACTTATCAGAAAATGTATCCTTTGCTTTAGTCACCACATACCCTCCTCCCTCCTTTAGTCAGTGGTTCCTCGACATGGCTGTGCATCAGAAAAGCCTGTGACAATATCAGCAGCACAGATTTTAAGGTCCTGCCTCAGACCATCTGATTCAGAAGCTAAGGGGTGGGGTCAGGAACCAACAGTATTTTTTAAGAACTTTCCAAATGAATCTGATGCAATAGCTCAGGGCTGGCTGGGCAGGCAGGATTTACTATCTAATCACATTTAGTCTCTCCTTCGGGGTACTCATTATTTTCCTCTGTCTGGAATGCTCTTTTCCATCTCTTTCAGCCCAATCTTTCCTTTGCCATCTGTGGACTAGTATAGCATTTCTAGCTTAAATGAATGGCTTCTTATTTCCTCTACTTAGGTCACTAACTTTTTAAGAATAGGAATCGTTATCTCATAGCTGTTTGACTTCACCACCACTTAGTGACATAATC